CGAGAATGGATCGAGGTGTCACAACGCCTATTTTATAACAATTTTTACGGCGAATCGTATTACTAACCACACAAGTGATAATTTCAATTTTGATTTGAAGCTCCTAATAAAGTAGGATTTTAACAACCAAATTTCCTGATGTTCAGGCTAGATCTGGCGAAATATTATCTATTTACATTATCAAAAACGTTGACCTGATATCCCAAAAAAAAACCACCGAAAGACAAGCAAAAAACCGTAAAACAGAGATAAGAAAGTTACAAAAGAGTATTAAGATATACCCAAAGACAAGAACGAAGCAACTGGTTCATAGTGTGGAGAAATATCACATCAACGATGGCCGTAACGATTAGACCCAGCAAGTTGCTGCACTGTCTCTCATTCAGATCTGATTTCATCAGAACTGCAGCTCTCAGAAATATGCAAACGCTATATTTAAACACATAAAATGCTTAAATTAAACTTGACAAAGCTATTTTGGCACCCTATACAGTAGTATGTGCTGCGCAAGAGGACCAACAATACCGGCGTAATCGTCCATGTATGTCTCTTTTTCCGTGAATCCCCGCTTTTTCAATAAATTTCCATAAAGTATCACAGATCTGAAAACGATTAACTATTGATGCAATTAGAAGTAGTAGTACTACTTGCTGTCATAGCATTAAACTCATCACCAATGAAAACATAAAGTAACGGAAATTTGATAAATAAAATTTCAGAATTTCAGGGGCGTATTTCTGACCGCAGTCGCTTTAACCGGGAAAAATAAAAAGTGCACCGGAAAGCGCAAAGACTGAAATGATTTTATGAAAACGGAAAAGGCTGCGATCTACAAGAATTTGGAGACTGTGTGCCAAAATGATTTGTTTGCGCGAAAAATAAAAACGCTTTACACCGGGAACAGCTGAATTCAGCTATTTAGAGAATGTAGATAGATTCAAGTGCTCACGAAAACAATACTCTCATCCCCTCTTTCCGAACAGATCGGATATATCTACATCCTCATTACTGCTTTTTACAAAATCCCAGCACGGTTAATTCGCAGCGCATTCTTTCGTGTAAACGACGGTCGTTGTACGGAAGCCTAGCACTTTCCACTATCAGTAAAGTGGAAGTCTGCATAAGATACATTAGCATTCTCTGCTCTTTTGAAAAAGAAATAAGCAAACACATTCGAATCAAGTCGCGCGGTTTCGATGATGAAAAGTGCGAGGAGGCCAGCTGCACTGGTGGCGTAAAAATGACGGCAGCTATCAACTGAAGTTATAAGTCAAGGAAGTTACTGAAGTACAGATACCTGTTATAAAGACATCGAACAGCCGCCGTTGGGCATTTTTCAGGTTCGGGTGCATCAGGTGCAAATGCTTCCAGTCGTTCCCCGTTGCTTCCCATCATTTCGATACATTTTTCCAAGGGAACCCACGTAAAACTCCGATCACACAACAAGTCAGATGGATGAAAACGTCCTTTGTAACGCATTTTTGCGCATGAATGTATGTAGTAACCCATATAGTAATAATGCAACTCTGGTCTTTCTTTCATAAGTTCTCTAACAAATGCAATTTCCCTGAAATGAACAAAAATTTGTCGAAAAAATTTGTGGTTTACTAAAAAAAAAAAGATCGAAAATACTCTGTTCGATGTCTGAAAAACGAATTCTTCCGCAAACATGAAGCAACCACTGCATTATGCAGAAAATGCATATATAATTTCGGTTATTCAAAGCGCACTGACAAGTCTACTTAATAATTCAAAAGAAATCAGGAAGATAACTGATTAGTCAGGTAAGCCCGCTAACAGTGAGGGCGCAAACTGACCAAGTTTCTTCGGTGTACAAAATGAGCTGGGTGCAATCGGTCTCGGGAGCTGAATCCAAAGACCGAAAATGACAAAAAAACTTGAAAAGATATAAAAATGGGACAAAGTGTCTTTCCGAGAACTACAGCTTTCGGAGGAGCAAAACAATTTGAAGGAAATAGTAGTGAACTACTGCTACACCGTCTGGTAGCAAGAAGGCTTGAAAAATGAAAATGCAGATCGAATTACAAACAGGGGGCATGGGAAAAAAATATGCAAAAAATTCGACAAAAATCTGTTCGGACCACCGATATTCCAGCACCGTTACTTCGTGCCACCAACTAGAAGTATTCTTTTGTGTTTACCGAATGAAAAGTGGAAAGACTTCTGGTACAAGCTCATCAGATCCGGACTGTCCGAGATTTGAAAATCTTTCCCCATCCGGTTCAGTTGGTGTTTGGCAAAGAGAAGCCTGCCAAGCAGTTCGAAGAAGATTAAAACCGTTCTGCTGCGTGCAAAGCACGACCAAGAAGAGTTCAAAAATTATCGCTCAAACTGCCTGCCCATCATATTTACAAGCTACGAACGAAGGCAAAACGTATTAGTTCTCTGGGAATTCGACATCATTTTATCGTTCCAAAAGTTATGCTTTCCGTCAGCTATTTTATTAGCAATGTTCATTAACAAAGTGTTATATGGGGTATAATTAAGAACTGAACCATTAATTATATAAAAAACGTCTGGCAGTGTACATTTCACAAAACTACCAGGAAAAAGTCTCAGCTATGTCACTGGTGAAATCAGATACAGCCAATCACTGTTTCTCACAGCAGTACTCTATTATTTCAGCTCAAAACAAATAATTGAAGAAAAAATTTGTCTGTTTTGGGACCAATATCAAATTGCATGCACACAGTTTGACACTAAACATAAGGCAAACAACTCTTAAACTGTGTTATCTAAAAATAAAAAAATAAACTGTGATAACAGCAAGTTTTATTTTTAAAAAAAGGCAATTTCAATAAATCCTGGATCTATTTTTGACAATCATAATAAATTTCTGAATACTCAGCAGTAAAACATTCAGACAAGCATGCACGAACGGCCCCTTATAGTTGCACTCGGAGCATCATAACATCGGATCCCAACAATAACTGCCACTACAATCTTAATAATTTTCGAAAAAAACCACCAGCAAAACTCAATTTTTCATCTCCGCTAACAGCTAACCAGCACCACTATCAGCAAAATCATCTCTCTATGACTAATGCAGCTATGGATGATCATCCTGCCAGGGATTATGACGTTCGTTCACCTTCTTTTCTATTTTCGTTTCGCCGAAAAGAAGTGGAAGGGGTGCCGCAATTCGCACAAACTGTTTGAAAAGCGGTTAATTATAGGTTAATTTTATTTATCAGCACAGGCTAAGTTTATATTATCATAACATCTGGCATGAATTTACTCGATGATTTCAAGCTTTTACAAAAGAAGCTTTACTTTACGCTAGAACTTACCTTAAAGCGGTATATGTTCCAAGCATGAGAAATTTATACTGAGGATCATGAAAAAGATATTTGCTGGATAAACAGCGCGGCAAAATATCCACAACACCAACAGCAATCAGCTGGCCATCCAAATAATACTGCTGATGGTAAGTACCAAGTGCCACGGACTTAAACGGAAACAGTGATGAAAATGACCAATCTAATCAATGATATTCTAAAGTACTTCAAAACTTCAGTGATTTGTCAAATTGAACTTTTCTGGCGTTAACTTCTGAAAAAATCACTGAAGCGAGCATGGTGGAGTTAATCTAACAGTGAAGGACGCTCCGACCCTTTACGAATTTTTCATTCGTTCCGATGAAGCACTAGAACTAGCACATACCAAAGAATCAAAACCATAACTAGTTTGCTCACAAGCAACTGTTAAAGGAGGAAGCTATCGACAACCTTGCTAATAAGCGGATGCTTCTGAGACCCGCCACAAATAAAGCTATTTTCGAGTAGCTGCGTATCCCACATACCCCGTAAAAACACGGAAATTTTTTGACCTCGCTCCAAAAATTTTTGCTTTATAAATAAGTTCAGAAACATCCGATATGAAAAGAATATGCAGTCAGTGAAAAACTAGTTCGTACAACGATTTAAAAAAACGAGCTCACAGGCGGACAGCTGCACTTAATACTTGGTAGCTATATTTCAATAACAGCAAGAGCTTTTCATTCACAGTGGAATAAATTCAACAAAAACTATCTAATACACACCAACCTTATTTTCGGCGCCTTCTTCGTCACTGAAAAGAGGCGAATCGGTCAAAAAGTCTGTAAAACCTCGTCGAGTACACTGCGTATCTTTATGAATTGAATTTTGGTAATTTTTATACAGTTCAAAACTTTCATCGGCAGTTGCATCATATTCATCTGATTCCACGGGGACCAACCGGATCTGTAATGAGTAAATTGCATAGCTCGGTTGCTTGGGAAATCATTTTGGAATAATAAACACGAGTGAATTTTATTTTTTTTTCTTTGAATCCCAAATTTTTATTTTTTAAATACAAAAGCAAAATCAGAAATTTTAAGATGGAAGAACAGGACTGATCAATTCAATTATGGCTGGGACCTGCTCATTAGTTTTAGAATATCTGGAGGCTTCGCGCGCAATCACCATCGATTCCCACCAAAAGTTTTTGACAAGATGCAGATGCTGTGAGATTCTAAGCTCATACAAGTGAACGACGCAGTCAACAAGTCCACGAGGAAACGAAACAGACCGAGTAGCAGGAAAATGTCAACAAATGAAAGATTTCTCCTCAAGACATCACTTCCCCCTAAGCCTGCATCGTTCTCCTTAGCGTATAAAGGGTATAAGCTTGAAAAATGAGAAAACGCCATGAGCCGAAAAACCGCACTGCTTATCTAAGTCGAACCACATAATTCACGATCATAATCTGGTCATACATTCCGCTCCCGCAAGAAGCCGAAAGAAGAGGAACTAGAAAAG